TTCCAAAACTTCACCACCAGCTGGAAACCACGTGTTCACATACATGAGCCTATGAGAGCAAGTTAGCATCCAAACCGCAATACGTGGGATATCGCATTCCCCTGAAAACATTTTTTGTCACATTCTCTAGAATTTATGAATTTCAAACAAATGAACAAAATCCCAATTTCTTTCTGCTTTTATCTTCTTCACAGACTGTATACACTGGATGCTCCAGGAAGGAGATGCTGAAGGGAGTGAGAAGGGTGAGGGGGTTATAGATTATGACCTGTGGAAGATGTCAGGACCAGGAAGCGGGACTGAGAAACAAAGGCTCAGACTGCACAGAAGGGAAAGGGTTCGGTCCACCCAGAGGAGGGAGAGACAAAGACTGATCACTGGGGCTGTCCATCGGAAAGAGTGGGGCTCTTCACTATGTTCCGTGGTCAGTCAGAAGCGGAGGCGCATCCTGTGGGCGGCAGGAGCTGCAGGCTGTGAGCAACTGCTGTCCGTACACTGGGACATCCAGGTCTTGGTTGAAGGAAATCAGCGTGATTCATTGAAATCAGAGTGATTAATTTGTCCACTGCCCTGCCTCTGAAATCTTGAAACACATTTCTCTTTGCCCTCATTCAAGGCTCTGTGGTGTGGACACCCTCACTCTCAATGTGTTTGTTCTTTGATTGTTAAACTTCGGCTCCCTAGTCCCTCCCAAAACTCAGCATCCCATTGCTTCATTCTCCAGCCAACATTTTGGCCACGCTACCTAAGTGCCCATACTGCAAAATCCAGCCTGCCTTCCCTTTCACCCCCACCCCCCACTATCCTCACACAGTATTGCAGACTAATGTCCCTGCTGGGGATCTTAGCACAAGTGTACACAATACACAGGGATCCTGTCATTAGGTCCTTCCTTCTCACATGGCATCCGAAGAATAATCTTCTAATTTCTGTTTACACGTTCAAGAGCCCGGTAGAAAAAGCATGGTCCTTGGAGTCACGTAGATCAGATTTGAAAGCTCACTCTTTGATTCTGTTTGGCTATACCTAGTATCTTTGGGTCTTTCCTCTCATCTGTGCAATGGAGCTTATGCTAGCTCCTCACAACAGATTATTTTGAAGATCATATAAAGTCTGTAGCTGCATTATTGAGATGTCTCAAATCATTGAAGTTTATAATTAAAGATTTTTTCCTTCAGTAGATGCTACTAACAATACTCAGGAGATAACCCCATTTGCCACTCAGAACATTTTGACCTAATTCTGTAAGGTTTTGGACATTTTGAGTTGTTAAATAATTCCCCTGTGAACTACTGCAGGTCAGCGCAGAGGGTGTATGTGTGTGTGTGTGTGCTATGTGTATGTGTGTAGTCTGTGTTTGTAGTGTATGTGGTGTGTGTAGCATGTGTACAATGTGTACAGTGTGTATGTATGTGTGTAGTATGTGCATATGTATGTAGTGTGTGTTCAGTGTGTACAGTGTGTGCAATGTGTGTGTATGTATTTGGTATCGTGTATGTGTGTGTGTAGTGTGTGTATATACATATATATTTGCGTGTGTGTGTGTGTGTGTGTGTGTGTGTGTGTGTGTGTGTGAGAGAGAGAGAGAGAGAGAGAGAGAGAGAGAGAGAGAGAGAGAGAGAGTAATGAAAGCATGATTTGTTTTCTCGACCCCCACAGTGTTGTCCATTCTGTGTATCTTCCATTATCTGAAAAGGAAGGACAGGGAGGGTGGGTTTGATTCCTTAGGAACCATCCAGGCCGCTGTTTCTCTTTACTGTAAGTGATCTCTCTGCCTTTCATAAGCTCAGTAACATGAGTTGGTGACTACAAGTTCCTGGGACCAGGACATCAGGACAAACAGTTCCAGTAAACATTGGTGTCCCTTTTGTTGGCTGAATCGTGCCTCTCCTCCCCTTCAGTCATCCGAGCACTCCGCCAGTGTTCTACAGCTTACCTGCTCTCTCTGTGGACACCACAATCCAACTTCAAGGCAAACCTTGAGGTAGAATTCATTTCCTGTACTTCCTCATTCCTGAAATGAGGAATTCTGGCTCTCTCTTTCTCATTATTCCTTCCTCTATTTTGGTAGTGCAGGTCGGAGATATCCACATGGGGAGCTCAGGGATTCACAGCCTAGATGAAAGCTACTATTAACCTGGCCCTGGAGAGTTCGCTAAGTATTTCTCAATAGTGCTTCACCATAATTCCTGAGCTAATTAGTAACCGCAAATGGCCAGGAAAAGACTCCACTTAGACACGTGTACGTAAAACAGGATCCACAACCTATCTGGCCTACAACAATTAGTGTTACTTTTTTTTTCTTAGTGAGACGTAACCATTTTATATCTATAGTGTATGTTTGTATTGCAAATGTGGGTCACACATGCAGTATTCAAAATTATTAAGCAATTAAATCTTTACAACAAATCTTCAAGGTAGTCACTGCTCCCGATTCCAAATTATAGGTGAAGAGATTGAGGCATATACTAGACCAGCAACCCACTTGCCTTCTAGTTACTGTTGGATTGATGAAGTTTGTGAATCAGTGTAGCTGGAAAGTTTCTCTCCAGCTCCCACCAATCCCGCCAGTCCCAGAGCCCACTTATAAAATAAACACACAGACTCTTATATTATTTAAACTGTTTGGCCTAATGGCTCAGGCTTCTAGCTATCTAGTTCTTTTATCTTAAATTAACCTATTTTTATTAATCTATAAGTTGCCACGTGGCTCGTGGCTTACCGGTACCTTATATCTTGCTTTTCATGGTGGTGTCTGGCAGGTCTCTCTGCCCCAGCCTTCTACTTCCCAGAATTCTCCTCTCTCCTTGTCCCACCTATACTACCTGGCCACTGGCCAATCAGTGTTTATTTATACAGAGCAATATCCACAGCAAATCAGAAACCAAATAAGATTTTTAAATCCAGCTGGGAAAAGGGTTCTTTTTTTAACTGTTATGAAGGATCATTTGAGTCACAACAACCCATACAAAATTGAATGACTTATCATTTCTCTTGTGTGGGAAAGGCTACCCATTGTAGTCATTGGTATGCCCTTGAGACACAAGAATTTTCTAGTTATAGCGATTTTTAGACATCATCCACACATCTTTATCTACTGGTAATCTTTTTTTTTTTGGTTTTTCAAGACAGGGTTTCTCTGTGTAGTTTTGGTGCCTGTCCTGGATCTCTCTCTGTAGACCAGGCTGGCCTCAAACTCACAGAGATCCACCTGGCTCTGCCTCCCGAGTGCTGGAATTAAAGGCGAATGCCACCACCTGGCCCTGGTTATCTTTTTTGAGGAACTCTTTGGACTTTTTTTTTTTGTTTTTGTTTTTTTTTGGTTTTTCGAGACAGGATTTCTTTGTGTAGCTTTGCACCTTTCCTGGAGCTCCCTCTGTAGCCCAGGCTGGCCTGGAACTCAGAGAGATCCGCCTACCTCTGCCTCCCGAGTGCTGGGATTAAAGGTTTGCGCCACCACCACCCAACCTTGGATTTTTTTTTTTGTTGGGAGTTTTTCTTATTTATTATTCATCTTGTTTTGATAGACACTATAGCTTTGTAAATAAAAGCCATTGATGTTTCCTACATTATGAGAGTTTATTCTAATATTAAAAAATCCACCGTTATCCGTGATTATATTCTTTAGCTTCTTGCTGCTTGTGCAAGCTGGTAAGTTTGAATCAGCAAAAAAAATGTAAGAAAATTCAATTGACTCAACCCAGGAATTCATATCAAATTTATGAATGTATATAGTATTTATAGTATTTATAGTATTTTTACTTTTGACGTCTTTCTTTTTTGGGGGAGGGGAGGAGTTCGAGACAGGGTTTCTCCCTAGCTGTCCTGCAACTCACTTTGTGGACCAGGCTGGCCTCGAACTCACAGAGATTCACCTACCTGTCTCTGCCCCTGGAGTGCTGAGATTAAAGGCCTGTGCCACCACACTGGGCTTTGATGATTTTTTTTTTTGTGTGTGGAACTTTTAATAAATTTTTGTAAACCTATCCTTTTCAAGGACCATAATTAATGTGCTACATATTTAAATCAGAAAAAAGAAGCATCTCATTTATCTTTTGGTATTTCTGTCATCTTCTAGCATCAGAATCAGTTGACACTTGACCATCTCAGGATTTGGAGAAATAACTGCAAGTCTACAGAAAGGAGATTAGATGTACAACCGCAGTCTGATACTTGTCAACAAATGTGGTGAGTGATAGAATATACTTCCAAATTTAAACCTCCCAAGTTTTAAATAGTATTTTTTTTTTTGAGAAAACACGTAAATATGAGGCTTTTGTTGCCAATTTCCACATTAGGAAAAACAGCCCTGGACTCAAAGCCTAAGGGACTTGAGCTCTGGTTTACTTTATGGATACACTGAGCACAGAGCCTGCCTCCTGCTACAGTGGTTGACCGGTATTTATTTTGTATCTAAATATTGGAAAGATCGTTATGCCAACAAGAAGAATTTAAAGTAGATGCTCTATCCCTTTGTCTTTTCTCAGGGTGTCTGCTCCTGAGAAGGCTAAGAACTAAAGTGGAACAGGGCTCCAGGATCTGGGAAGCAGGGGTGACCTCTTTTCTATTCCCACCGTGATCCATGGACGGTGCTTGTGGAATGCATGGTGACAATTTAAAATCTGATCTCCATTCTGAGTCAGATGGGGAGCTCCTCATCCCCATTTGGCCTCTTAAATTTTAACTCGTGGTGATGGGTTGCGGAGACGACTCTCACCTTTGATAACCGTGCCCCAGAAGGCGTGTATAGGAAGACAGGGTTTGGGGTCAAATTATGTCCCTTCTCTCTGCTTGTAGGTAACAGGATGCAGAAGTAGGGAGGTACCGGAGCGGCCTCAGAGATGACCACCTGCAAGCTGTAGGTTAGAAGCCTCTGGCTTTTGCCTAGACCGTCCCCGGCCCCGCCTCCAGGCCCCGCCCCCGGGTCCTCCAGGCCCCGCCCCCAGGCTCCCCAGGCCCCGCCCCTCCCGGCCCGGCCTGTCTGGCTAAGGTTCTTGCGGGGCGGAGGGTGCTGAGAGAGAAGCCGCTGCTGCAAATCCGCTCGGAGCGTCGGAGCCTGGGCGCAGCCCGGGATCGCGCCGCCGTCGCCGGGGAGCCGCTCGCTTCCGTGGCCCGGGCCTCAGCGCAAGCGGGCTGGGCCATGGCAGCCGCCGCGGTCCCGGGCCGTCGCTGAGCAGCCGTTAAGCCGCCCGCCCGGGTTCGGCCCGCGCCGCTGCCGCTGCTGCCGCCGCCGCCGCCGCCGCCGCCGCGGCCCAGGCTCCGCTCAAGTTTCCGCCCAGAAGCCGAGGCGACCGCGGGCCCGCTCGCCTGCTCGCCCGCTCGCCCGCTATGTGGGGCCGTTTCCTGGCCCCGGAGGCTGGCGGCCGGGACAGCCCCGGCGGGGCCCGCAGCTTCCCTGCGGGTAAGAGGGGGGACGGCGGGCGGGTAGGGTGGCGGCCGCCGGGGGTGCCTCGGGAGCGCTCGCCCTCAGGCCTGCGACCCCCGCAGGGTGACAACTCGACCCTTCAGGGCCGTTCGGCCGGGCTTTGTTGTTTCTCGGGTGGTGCGTGGCTGCCCCACGCGGGACGCGGGCGGGAAGGTCGCTGCGGGGTCGCCCGCAGCCCCTGGTCCGGGGGGACGTGGTCGCCGTCAGCACCCCCCGGGGGGTCGGCAGCTCTTAGGAAGCCGGGGTGGCGCGGCTGTCCGCCGCCGCCTCCTGGGTCCCATCAGAACCCAGGCACCTTGGAAGCGGCGGGGCTCCGGGGGAACTCGGGGATTGCTGCGGCTTTGCGTGGTCGGAGGGGGTCGGACAACCATTTCATGCCTGCATCATCACCCAGAAGTTTGTGTGGGAGCCACCAGATTAGAATAAATCTAACCTGGAATAGAAGACGAAGGCTTGGCTTGACCATGACAGGTTATCTAACGATGACAGTCCCTTAAGGGCACTTTCGTCTTAACTGAGTTTGAACGTCTTTGAAAAGCTGAAAGATATACATGGACTCCCCACCCCCCTCCAAGAGAAAAAGCCACATACCTGTATGCAAAATTTCTCCTGCAAATTTAGATATTTTTGGGGTGCCCCTCGGTAGTAACCCTGTTCTACGAAGAGTTTGAACTTGTGTGACTTAGAGACGTTTGTGTATCGTTTTTCAAAGCTCTAGACACATTTGGTGGGGGTCCTTTTGTGATAGTCTCTGCTGTTTAGAAGCTACCAGGCAGGCATATGGCTATTGAAATTTCAAACAATGCAATTCTGTGATAGTTTAGATTCTAAACCATCAAGTGGTTCTCACCCTCACTAATGCTGCGACCTTTAATAAAGTTCCTCATGTTGTGGTCACCTCCAACCATGAAATTATTTTTGTTGCTACTTCATAGCTGTAATTTTGCTACTGTCATGAATTATAATGTGAATATTTGATATGCAGGATATCTGTCTGATACATGACCCCCCAAAGGGGTCACGGCCCACAGGTTGAGAACCACTGGTTCAGGCATGTGCTATACATACATACATACATACACATTAGGTTTGAAATTATTCTCTTACACTTTAGATCCATAATAGTTTTAGAAGTAATGGAGATTAGACTACCCGTGAATTTAGTAAAAATACATGCAGGGAATTACTTTCTAAAATGTTAAAATATTTACTGTTTGTCTTCAAGAGGAGAGTACAGTTTAGGGGTTTCTGATGCTTACCCAGTTGTCGCAGGTCCTAGTATCTAAGTGGCTTTAGTGATGGAGAAGATACTCATTATCCCTGGGGGCCAGAAAGAGTGGCTTCCATTTATTCCTATGTGTCAAAAGCCATCTGTGATGTCTCTGTAACCTAACCTCTAAAATCTTATTGGTGGTAATGGCCTGTGTTGGAAGTATATCACAGACGTAGTATATCCACTTCCATTGTTTTCTACTAAGAATGCATCCAAGAATTAGAAGTTAAGTAATTGAGAGACTTTGATGTTACACTGCAGTTTTTAGACATTTGCTATTTGTAGAACACAGAGAAAGAAAATACTTTAAAATATTACTCAGATTTAAGGGATTTGGATAGTATATAGACTTCTAAAACAAAGTTCTTCCTTAGCATTGGCAGCAATAAGCCTTAATTTGCATCTTTTCTTTCCAGTGAAATATGAATATTTTTCAGATATGCACTGAGAATGGATTATTTTTATAGTAATGGTGATGTAATTATTTTCTCCTTGAGCCAATATAAATATTTAATTATTTAAAATTATTTTTAAAAAGTTATTCTTTAGATAAACCTGTGGTATCTCTAGCAAATGATTCCAGTGAAAGTCAAGATAACGTATGGGCTGTGAAAGAAAATTTGTGTCTTGGAAATACTGGATAACAAATACATCCTTGGGCTAATTTGAGCAATTTTAGGGCCTGTATGAAGATAACAAACAAAATTTAAGTTTTTCTTTTTCTTTTTTTTTTTTCCTGAGAGAGGATCTTATGTAGCCCAGACTGGCCTTAAATACGAAATTGCAATGAAGCCAAGACTGGCCTTGAGTTACTGGTCTGCCAACAATTCTAAAGTGCTGGGGGATCACAGGCTTGTGATGTCTGTCAACCCAGTCTTCCGATGGAATTTATTAGCTGTCTGTTTGATTCTGAGACAGTCAATAATTTTCTGATATTAAAAAGATTCTATCTTCGTATGCACGAAGTTAATTCTGGGTGTTCTGAGACTGGATTATACAAATAGGTAATTGGACTAAAGGGAAGGCAAAGGTACTAAGATGTCAGCTTTCTGCAGCAGAGAGGAAGCTGCTGCTGCTGCTTCATTTAATGAAGTGACAAGTGGGAACAGCATGCATACTTTAGAAAATACTAAGCATTTGTTTTTCCTTTAGGATTCCATTGTGTTTTGTCCTTATTCGGTTTCCCAGGTTTATGGCTAACCATGTTCTAAAAAAACTAAAATGAAAATTTTCTTACATTTTCATGCAAGATCACATAAAGTCTTCCCCCTACACTCAAACATTGCTAGAAGGCTACTTTAAAATGGGATAAGCGGTGTGTCTTTTGAGCACTTGAGTGTGTTTGAAATCACTCTTTTTCAGAATGTATACTATCATCAGAGTTGGTCGAAAGGTGGGTATACTTCCCTTGGGCTTTTGAAATCTAGAATTATGCAGTGATATGTTGAGTACTTCCAGTTATAATCGGTATGTTCTTTAAAATAGGTCACACACACACACACACAAACACACACGAGTTTTATTTTGTTTGAGACAGGGTCTAAACATGTAGCTGAGGTTGGCCTCAAGCTTACAGCAATCCTCCTGTTTCAGCCTTTCAAGTTCTGAGATCACAGATATGAGTCACCATTTCTAGTTTTGTAAGTCATATTTTAAAACATAATATATCCAGTCCTTAAAATATTTTGGGGTAGAATATTATACTTTTAAAACATGCTAAAAATGCTCCAGTTAACACTGGCACAATGTCACTTGTTCATTGCTGTGAGCTTTAAATTTGCATTTGCAGAGTCATACATCGCTTACAAGCTGCTTAGTGATGTCATAATGATAGTGGTCATAGATAGTAAGATTGCAACAAATGATGTTCTCTGCTATGGTTCTGAGTTAGATGGACCTAAGAACACTCTGGTAACAATGCAAGGTAACAGCTCTGTCAGCTAAACCCGACTGGACATGGTCTTTCATAGTAGTCATTGGGGTGAGGGGGGAATCCCAACTTGAGTGATGACTTTTGTGAAATGACTTTGATTAGTGATTGGAATTTGATCTTCTTGGCTTGACTGAAACTGGTATGTTAATCTGAGGCCAGGAAATAAATGGTGAGTTGAGCTGATGACACCTATTATTGTAAATTTTTATGTATGTTATGAACAGAAAGATATTAGTTACAGTTTTTCTGTCTATAAGAAATATGTGCCCTGAGAAGATAATGAAGACTTGCAGTCTCTTAGATACTGTTTTATTGAATTATAGCTTAATTAGTTCCCACAAATTGGGATTAATGAAGAAGAATGTGATCACCCAGGTAACGTGTGAGCCCCAACATATTAACTATTATTACTGCTTTAAGGTTTTCATATTATATGCTTTAATCTTTAAAAATATTCAGAGGAGAGCAGCTTATTGCGGAAGGTCACTAATTAAGAATAGAAATACTGGACATGGTGCTGCCTGATTGTAATCTCAACACTAGAAGGGTAGAGGCTGTAAGATTGTAACCAGTTCAAGTCCAGCCAGGTTTACATAGTGAGTTCCAGGCCAGCCAGGACTACATAGTGAGACCCTGTCTCAAGAAACCCAAAACCAAACCAAAACAAATCCAAACTCAACCACCCCCTACGAACAAAACAAAGAACAGGGAACAATTGGTATAATAATAACACCAAGTTGCTTTTTATACTTGTATTTTATTTAATTGACATAGTGCATTGTTGCTGTCTAGTATGGTGCTTTCCACCTAAGTACATGTTTTTGTTATTAAATATGCCAAGGCTTTGTATTAGACATGGTCCTATACCATTGAGCCAGAAGGCGAAGGTCCTTGCTATAAGGGAGCGTAATTCTCCTGGGGAGGAGATGGACTGTAGCTAGAGTTTTCCTGCCTGGCCCACAGTCAGGACAAATCTCTCTTACCCGCCAGTCCCACAGCTGCTCAGACCCAACCAAGTAAACACAGAGACTTATATTGCTTACAAACTGTATGGCCGTGGCAGGCTTCTTGCTAACTGTTCTTACAGCTTAAATTAATCCATTTCTATAAATCTATACTTTGCCACATGGCTCGTGGCTTACCGGCATCTTCATATGCTGTTTGTCATCTTGGCGGCTGGCAGTGTCTCTGACTCAGCCTTCCACTTCCCAGCTTTATTCTCCTCCTTGTCCCGCCTATACTTCCTGCCTAGCCAATGGCCAATCAGTGTTTTATTTATTGACCAATCAGAGCAACACATTTGCCATACAGAACATCCCACAGCACTTCCCCCCCCTTTTTTTTTCAAAAAGGAAGATTTTAACCTTAACAAAGTAAAATTATATATAATTTGGGAATTTGGGCGTAGCTTCTCTTACTACTTCCTGCTGGAGGGGGGTGCTGTATCTTATGGGGACACAAAAAAATTTTTAGGATCATGGAGTAGTCCGTGAGGCTGTATCGTCTGAGCCAGTTGCCTTGAGACCATTCTGGATGTTGAATCATCTGGGCCATGGTGTCATCGGAGACCTTTCAGGGGGTCTTGGCTGGTCAAACCTGATGTATCTTAATCTGGAACAAATCCATAGCCTCTGGCTTTCTGTGGGAACAAAAGCAGAGTCTCCTTTCCAAAGCAACATATCCTTATATCCAAATTTTGAAGTCAAGGTATCTTTAAAATATACATATTGGCATAATTCAACAGCTTTTATGATCAAATGTTTTTCTGCA